TTTTATACCAAAGCACATTATTCTCTACATGTACATTTGCTATGGCCAAAGTAACATTGCTTTACTTACTACACTGTGTTTGTTCCCCCCCCCCCCAGCATTACGTTGCAGTCAGAATCAAACAGTCAGCAGATTAAAACAAATATTCAATAATATGTTGCTTTATATTTTATTATGTAGCAAATTTAACCCATTTGTTCATACTTACCATTCTTTCTTTGTTCTGCGTTACCAGAAAGTCTTACATTATTGGAAAGGTGAGGGAAAAGGGTCTGCCCAGCAGTCCTGACTTTTAAAGTGCTGATGATGTCACGTGTCACACCCCCAGGCTAAACCAAGAGGAGGGTTTTTTTTCCCCTATAGCAATGTTTTCTTTTGCTTGTCTCTTGGATTATGGAGTGATTTGTCGAGAATATTTTCTTATATAGAACCATTTCACTGTTTAAATGGGTTAATCAGGAGAGCAGTGAGCCTTTTGTGATTCTCTGCTATTTGTGTTGTGTTTTAGATTCAGCAGCTTAAGCTAGTGGTACAGTGGGCAACTCCAGGCCTCGAGGGCCGGTGTCCCTGCAGGTTTTAGATGTGTCCTCGAACCAACACAGCTGATTTAAATGGCTAAATTAGCTCCTCAACATGTCCTGAAGTTCTCCAGAGGCCTGGTAACAAACTAATCATGCAATTCAGGTGTGGTGAGATCTAAAACCTGCAGGACACCAGCCATCGAGGTCTGAAATTGCCCACCCCTGCATGGGCTAGACAAACTGAAGGTGCATTGACAGTTCTATATATAGTCAGTCTCAGGTTGGTTCAGATGAGGGAGGAAAGGTGAGCTCTGTTGCACAGTTCATGTCATTTTTGGTTTTTAGTTATTGTGAGTTAGCTTGGGATGGTTTGGTTTAAGTTTCACGTTATGGAGGTAACTGTAAATAAACTGCTTATCTTTGGGAACTTAAAATGTTTGCTGTGTCTGCGTACCAACCACCTTCCTTGACTCTTAAGCCAGACTACTTCACACACATTCATTCAAGCTTCAGCGAATCAATCTAATGAGGTATTACAGCATACTAGAAGAGCAGTTCATGGATGATTTAGTAAGAAAGAAAGAAAAGAGGCCTAAATAGCCTCATTCACTATTGTCATTTAACATAAATAGTCTGTTTTAATACAAATTTAGCTTTAGCCTTTCCTCAATTTTTTGTTGTACTGACATTCTTGTCCACAACAGGACTGTAATACCATGTAAAAAAAAAAAACAAAAAACAGAGGGGAAAAAAAGCAAGTACAATAGATGTAGATACAGAAGGGTGCAGAAGTCTTCAAATCAAATTCAAATTTTATTTGTCTTGAGCTACACCTTGGGGCTTTATATTGTGATGTAGGACAGAGGTGCAGCAATTTGCTGAAACATGCACAAACACATGGAAATACAGTATATGAGACAAAAACTGAACCAAAAATGTAGTATTTAGAGCCTTTACCACCAGTGTCCAAACCCTGGAGGACTAATGCTCAAGATCACTTTTAATTTGTATGTTGCGTCCAAGGAGCCAGACTTCGTTGTAATTATTAATGAGGGGTGGCTCAAGAATTTTGCGCAGTACTATATAATATATGAAAACAGATGTTTGGAAAGCCGTTTGTTGGTTTTCTTTTGTCCAATATTTTCCCGTTTGCCTAATCCTACAAGGTCTAAACGGCACTGTAGCGCTAAAACTACATATCCCAAGATTCTCGGCGCACTTTTGGGTTCTGGGAAACATGGCGGCGTCCGAGCAGACGACGGATGCAAACGTGAACGTCCCGGAGTACGAATATCCCGATGTTAATACAAAACCATTTCATATCGGCTCTTTTAAAAAGGAGTGGCTGAACAGACTGAAACCAAGCGACTACTCGTATGAGGAGGCGGATGAGGACGCATTTCTTGCTAACTTTGCTGAAGAGATGGGGGTCGGTGCGGAAACCATGGCTGATCTTAAGACTGTGTGCAGGTAGTCGAGATCAATGTGCACCATAATAATATGTTAATGGTAATTAAGTTCAGTTGCAGTAATTGTAATGGTAAACTGATATTAAGAATACTAGTTAAATTACATAATGAGGTGTAATAGCTGATAGCTGAATCTAGTTTGTCCCAAAACGGGTGATAGTAAACACACCAAACGTGGAAGAGGTGTGTAACATTTACTTATATAACTATGAATTAAGAGTTACAGAGTGTCCCAATGTGCGGCAGAAACATAAAGTACCGTAAAATACAACAAAATCCACCACGTGGTCAAACATAGAGGGAAAACAACTGCAGAGGTTGGCGTAAAGACACTGAAATATAAAACGACGTACATGTTGCGTTCAAGTAAGTCGTGTAAAAATTTCAATTAAAACTAAAGCTTTTTAGGTTATGGGGTTAAGTCAGTTGTAATTATAAATAGATCAATGTTTCCCTGATTAGTTGTATAGTTTGTAAAATCTTTATTATATTTTCCATAAAAACTAAATGATGTTTTATTTTTTGGTTTTTATCCAGATAACAAAACGTTATTAATTTTTCTTTAAAGAAATGAATGCCAGCTTTAACAGTGTAAAAATATAAACTCCTTCCACAGTCTGTAAACTAAACAGAGATGGGCCGATTTATCAGCTGCTATCCTTTTTTTGCTGACTAAAATGACATTCGTTAATGACAGTGGGGGATGTTTATTTTTTGTGTCTCATCAAGTTTGTGGTCACTGGAAGGTTGCTTTTAAAATAAATGATTATTTCAAACGTTGATTTCAGTCCAGGAGTTTCACAGTAGGCTCATCAATTAGTGCAGGGGTCCCCAATCCCAGTCCACGAGGGCCAGTGTCCCTGCAGGTTTTAGATTTCACCCTGGGTCAGCACACCTGAATCACATGATTAGTTTATGCCTCTGGAGAACTTCAAGACATGTTAAGGAGGTAATTTATCCATTTAAATCAGCTGTGATGGATCAAGGACACATCTAAAACCTGCAGGGACACCGGTCCTTGTGGACTGGGATTGGGGACCCCTGAATTAGTGCAAACTCCAGAACAAGAATTGAGCTGCAAGTAAAACGATGGCCGTTATGAAACAAAATGTCAAAGAAAAAAAGTCCTGTCGATGTCGCATGACTCTCACCTGATAACTCCGTGAAGATGATCTGTTCTTGTTACCAAAGATAGTCAAATGACTTTGTTTTTATTCTTTCTTTTGAAGTGTTGATTCGCTTCGATGTCACCCTGAAGATCAGCAGCCTGACACAGAAGTTGTACCTCCAGATCCCACATTAAGAACACTAGTGTATGATCTTACTTCAGTTCATACAAATGAAAAATGCGATTGATCAGTATCGTAATGCAATTTTAAATGTGATTTGCTTTTTCTTTTCTTTTTAATACAGGCAAAGAAAGAAGAGGCAAGACCACCGAGCTTCTCTTAAAAAGATTAAAAAGAACAGACATGACCTCTATGCAGATGAACTGGTGGGTGAATTTAGTTAGGGACTGAGATTACATAATTAACCTTTGCATTTACTGTTCGCTCTAAAGTAGGTGTTTATTATTATCCCCTGGGGCTTCTTGACAGGTTCCCAGACATTTTTAGTTTTCTCTTTCATCTTGTATCTAAACGTGAGGCTTGGTTCTCTCTCTTATTTTTCAGGAGCGCCTAACCATTGGCAGGAAACCAGAAACGGTGACTGACATGGTTCCTGAAGGAGAGATCATTCTAACCATCAATGTCTACTACCCAGCTGTGTTTGACAAAGTAAGGGTTACATTTTTTGTTTGTTTGTTTGTTTTGTCATAAAACTGTTTTAAAAAAAAAAAAAAAAAAAAAAAGCCACAGTGTTGTGTGTTGTAGTTGAATACTATATTTAATGGTGCATTTCCTGCAGTTTAACTACATCAGACCCCACATGACTCTCCTGATGACGGGTTCCCACAGCTTGGCAGAGCTCAGGGATGCTGTTTGCTGTGTCAGTGACTTGCAAGTGTGTGGAGAGTTCAGCAACACGCCTGACGTAGCTCCAGAATTCATTAGCAAGGTAAATACAGGACCCGAACAGGATAATATTGCTGTGCTCCTTATCTAAATGTAACTGTTTCTGTACATTTAGTGTGACTGGACTCTCATACGTGTATGTATGTATTTAAAAATGCATCTGTTGTAAGCTAGAGAAAAATATTTTATGTGCTCTTTTTCAGGATCATTACAAGTCAGCTTTCTTCTTCTTTGAAGGAGTTTTCTACAATGACATGCGGTTTCCCGAGTGCCAGGACATCAGCTCGTAAGTACCTCCTGCTTTAGGAAGCTTTAAAGATTATGCATTTCTTAACCAGGACCTTTACAACAGTTGAAGGCAGCAGGCCTAAATCTGTAGAAGGTTGCTATTTAAAAACGGGCCTCTTATTTTATTTATTCGGGCGATCGTGGCTCAAGAGTTGGGAGGTCGCCTGGTAATCGGAAGATTGCCGGTTTGAGCCCCGGCTCGGACAGTCTCGGTCGTTGTGTCCTTGGGCGAGACACTTCACCCGTTGCCTACTGGTGGTGGTCAGAGGGCCCGGTGGCACCTGTGTCCGGCAGCCTCGCCTCTGCCAGTGCGCCCCAGGGTGGCTGTGGCTACGATGTAGCTTGCCATCACCAGTGTGTGAATGTGTGTGTGAATGGGTGGATGCACTGACATTTTCATTTGTTCATGTTGCTTTGACTTTTGTCTTGGGTTGATTGTAACAAAGCAAGCAATAACTCACTTACTAGGCAGTTTAAAGAGAGATCATTCAGTTTATTATTTATTGCAATCTGCTCTTATTTAGAGAGTAGAACATCTTTTTATTTCACCTGCACAGGGCTGCCAATCAAAACGGTTATCAACTGCACTCATGTGTCTCCTCTGAAAATGACATGAGTGAATGAATTGCAAACGTAATAAAGCTGACCTTGGAAAAAATGTATCGTAGTTTAACATGCAAGCTTTCCTGACATGGCCCCCTGAAGGTGCTTAACTTGAACAAATTTAGCGCAGTCATTTCATATTAACAGTCCTGACTCCACAGTGGCTGAAAACCCTTAACTTCTTAACAAGGCTTTCATTTCAAAACACTTGCAGGTATATATGCAAGCAATCGTTAGATTGGATTGTTTTTTCCAATTATTCATTCGTCTGTATGTCCAGTCATCCATTTTCTTGTCCAAATCGAGGTTGCGGGAGGTTGGCAGCCTGTCCCAGCTGTCATAGGGTGAGAGGACAGGGTTGACAGTCTGTCACTAAGACAGAGACACAAACGACCACTGACACTTAACCAGAATAGCCATTTTAACCTAAGATGCCTCTTTTTGGACTGCGGGAGGAAGCCAAAGAACCTGCACAGGCAGAAGTAAAACCGCCACACACGGCGGGAATCAATGCTAACGTCTTCTGTGCCACCTTAAATTTGTTCTCAGTTTTTATTTGAGTAAATTGTAAAAATGGTTAAAAAGTCTTAAAGTACAGTTTTAGGTCCAAAATTCAAAATTACTCTTGAGCCTTTGAAAATGGGAGACTTTGTATAAAAATTACTGTAATTTCTAAATAGTTAATAGAATATATTTATTCAGCTCCTTGAGTTAAAGCTGAAAGTCTGCACTTCGTTCACATCTGCATTGTGCATTGGTGCAGAGGCAAAAATATAAAAAATTAGGTTACTGCCCAAAAACATATGGACCTACATGTCTGGAAAGAATTCCAAACAATAAAATTATTAGATCTGTTTAATAGGTTTAAGGTTTAATAACTCTACAGTGCTCAGCAGTTTGCAAACTGTGTCTAAGGAGTGACCTGGGCTTGGAGCTGAGAGCCGTGGAAAGGTTAGTAAAATGAAATGGAATAAAATATCTAAATGTTGGCTTTGGGCAGGATTTCTATGAATACCGGGTCTATTCAAGAGTTCTATTTAATGATTTGTTAAATAACTTGAAACGCTCAAATAATCACTGTGATATCTGCAGCTTATGAAAGCAGATAAAGATAGAAGCTTGAAGAGTGTACTTAGTCTGACCGTTGCAAACTGTTCACATTTATAAAACGTAGACCGGTCACAGTAAATAAAGACAACAGCTTTAGCGGATTTGATATTTTTTGTGTCTTTATTCATTGGATTGCAACCTACAGTCGTATTGATGCAGTTATCTGTTTCCTAGAAACAAAAATCCAGTTGAAGTAATCGATGAGGACGTAATCTCCAGAAATGCTCAGCCCTTTAAAGTGTATGTTGGTCTGTTGTGTAGCATTCTCATGAAGCTTGTTAAAGAGCAGAAGCTAACTGTAGATCTACTTTAGTTTAAGGTCACAAAGCGTTGTGATCTACACCTCAGCACACACTAAGCACTTTATCGCATTGCCCAACAACAACTTCCCAGCTGATCATCTCAGATCTGACAGAGGAAAGTTCTACTTAATAGGTCCTTCTTGATTTGTGGCCAAGATCCAATCGGGAACATTTTTTCTGGTATAATTTTTAAATTCCATTTTCTAGAAATCTTTTTAAGCTTGGTCCTTCAGTTTTGTTTGTTGCTATGGCTCTGTGAATATTTAGTGTAGTTCAAGTTAACATCGAATAAAGGATGCTTGAAGATATTTGAATGTTGGCTTGCTGACAGCAGATTTAGGGGCCTGTAAAAAGCACAGTTTTACAGTTAGAGTAGAATTGGACTGAGATTTTCCAAATGTTTTTTGTTTTCTGTTAGAAATCCATTAAAAATCCACAAAGTTTTGCATAATTTATATTAAGAAGTGTCTTTCCCCTGGTATTTTACCTCATCTGTTGTGGTGAGGTAGCGAGTCTTTTAATGAACTGAAAGGACTCGTCATCTGATATTTGCTGTGCTTTTAATAAATCCATCACTGACATAAGCGCTCTTGTGCAAAATTATGTATCATTCTGTGAATTAACCATGAAACTCATGTAAAAAATATACGCCAAATATTATTTTATCTTTTAATTTTCAACTCAGCTCACTTTTTAAAATATTTCTATTATTATAATTATTTTTATTATTATCATTATTTTCTATTTCACATATTTTACTTTATTATATTTACTCTGATTTCAGCTTTGTTTCTACCCTAATACAATTGTTTTGTTGCGTTTTCTTTTTTTAAGCTACAAACTATTCTTTGCATAGATACTGTTTGTTAAACATTTGCTGTGTTTAACTTAATCTTTAACTATTATAAAAAGGGGATTTGCCAACTTCTGGGTGAATAACAGACATCTTTTCTCATCTTATCTCCTCTTGCTTTATGATGCAGGACTACAATTGAATGGGCTAAGTCCCATAACTTCCCATCCTACAGCCAGGCCAAGATGGAGGACACACTTTTGGAGGATCTGAAAGTCAAAGTGGGATTCCCGTATCTCTACTGTCACCAGGGCGACTGCGAACATCTGGTCATCATCACAGATGTTAGGTTAGTGCTACTCATTGTCTAGTCAACTTCAACTTCTTTACAGAGCCCACTCCAACTCTTGCTATTACTATATATTACTATTGCTATAACTATTACAACCTCAAATAACATTTATGTCATATTCTGTGTGTTGCTGTCAATTAAAACAAATTACAGAGAGACTGCGTTATACACCTGCACCTCTGTTCAGCAACAGTTGAATAACAGCTGTCTTTAAGATGAATTGGTACAGTAATAATGAAACTAGCCCCCCTGAAGTTTAAATAACTGATTAACTGGTTTAATTTCATGCTTCCAGCAGTACTGTTGGCTCTACCAGGAAGGAGGCTTAGGAAGCTTACTGAACCACTACATAAAATCAAGAAGGATTTAGCTGACTGTGTCCTGTGAACATTAAATGGATAGATATCAGCTGAATAGCTCAAGGTGAAAGAGTTTGATTATTAACATTTACCTGGTTCTTTTCTAACGTCTCGCTCTGTAACAAGGGATAACAGGAATTAGTAATATTTATTGGCTATCAGCAAAAATTTCAACCAACAGGAGACCCTATATATAAAAAAAGGCTACAGCTCCTAAACACTTAGTGCAAGATTTTTGTTGAACCCCATGCATTAAAGTGAAAGTGTGAATGGCAATCACAGGCAGACGCAGAGAGGCAGATAACTGTTGACACCTTTAGCCAATTTAGAATAAACAGTTCACCTAACAATACACGCCTTAGTGCACACCAAGATTCCAGGTTCAACCAGGAACTATTCTTTACTTGCTTTAATGGATGCTTTTTCATTACAACAAAGTCATTTTAATTTCTTTTTATTGCTGTTGTGCAAACATGAAACACACTTGCAATAAACTCGAGTTTTCTATTTGTGTCCAGTGAGCAACTTAAAACCTGAACATTTCAGCTGTCGATAATACGGCCAAGTCAAAGTTGAAAAGTTCGAGCTAAAATCATCAAAATGTTTATATTCTGTTAGTCCGGTAATGTATTAATAGTTTCCAGCTCTTTTTTGGTGGAGTTCACAGTAAAGTACATCCAGATAATCACACAACCAAATAAGCATGCAGCCAAACGGGGTCATTTTAGCTTATCTCAGCTCCTCATGAATAAGATGCTTGGTATGAATAAGAAATACTCATGCCTATCTGGTTTGATTTTACATCAATAAACCATAAAGTAATAAACTGATTACTACTGTAGTACAGGAGGTGGATTTGTCAGCTGCAGCAATCCCGTCTGACAATGAGACGCATTGTCAGACGGATTTAACATGTCTCACAAGACTAACAGATGCGTAGTTATCTTCGAGCTTATGTAGCGTTGGCGTAAGCAGGCCGACCGCACATGAAAGCAGCTCCTGATATCATGAATGTGAGACAAATCTGTGTTCCTACCGCTCAGTGCCTCTGAGAATGTCGTCTTCTTCCCTGCTCTTTACCCATTACAGACTGGCCCACAAGAACGACTGTCTAGACAAGAATCTGTACCCACTGCTAACGCACAAGCACAGAGTCCTCACCCAGAAGTGTGCTGTCTGCCATGTTTTCATTGGAAGGTGAGGAGACATCAGGCGCTGCATAAACAACGGAAGCTTTGTGTTATTATTTTTATTTTTTTAAAGGCTGATCATGTATTTGGTCTTTCTAGATGGTATACCACCAACGACCAGTTTGCTCCGAGTGACCCATGTCTCTTCTGTGACAAATGCTTTCGTGTGATGCACTACGACGCTCAAGGCAATAAACTGGGAGAATTCTTGGCCTATCCCTATGTGGACCGGGGTGCCTTTAATTAATGGTTCTCATGACCTATTGCTGTATAATACAGTTACATGGTTTATATTTCAGAAAGAAATGTTCTGATACTTGCAACGTCATCAAAACTGTTTTTTTAGGTTTTGAGTTTCCTCTTTGAGCTAAACAGTAACATTTACTGATAAACAGTTCAGTTGACAGCAGCACGGTCAGTTTAATGTTTAGCATACTTGTGTGTGGGGGTTTTTTTTGTGTAAAGTTATTGATTTTTAAATGCACAAAACAGCTTTTTGATTGATTTTGATTGATTGAATTCATTAAAAGTAACCGAGTTATTATGTTTGATTGGTGGACATTTATACAGCTTGTTTAACTCATTTTGATGTATTTCAAATCAATGAGGGTGACACAGAACAGAAACTCGACCTTAGTGAGATGACAATTTTAAAAGGCTGTCTTATTTGTCACCTTTATACTGTACTGTGCAAAAGTCTTGAGCCGCCCCTCTTTTCTTTCTCATTTCTATTTTGTATTTTGTTTCCACTTTTTTTTATTTTTCAAGTGGTCTTGAGCAAAGCTTCGTCCAGGCTTTCTGAAAGTGATTCAGTGTTCTCTGGGCTAGTCTTTGTACAGACTAGACCCACCCCCCCCACCTGAGTAGTCTGCATGAAGGATTTGCGCCTTTTCACAATGGGGGGGCTTTCCTAGTCCTAGTAAATCATTTTTGAGTATGTGTACGTTACACATGCTAATTTTTAAAGTTATTATTTTTTTGCTAGCTTGCAAACTATTATTGAAATGCACTGAGTGTGATGCAATACGGCAGCGCTACTATAGCAGTTAGTTATGGCATGGTAATTTATGGAATATGCTGTGAACTACATAACTAGCCAATTAAAGGCTAAAAGCAAAGTTGTCACCAAGTAATTAGAATACTGTTCATATTTTTGTGTTTTGCTGCAGCTTTTCAAGTATTAACTTGGTGTGTTTGGCAACACCTTAGGGGGAATAATGGTAATATGAGGGACTGATCCATATGGGCACAAAGAATAGACACTTTTTTTGTGCTACCAAAGTTCCCCGGCTTTCATTCAAAATCTGTTTATCATGGGCACCTACACATTAAACAACTTAAACATTATAAATGGCTAAAAGCTCACACTGGGGCCTGTGGGGCACTATCAGCCACTGAGACAATAGACACATTTATGTATATGAGTATTTCATACTTTAAGGCTGTCTGTTTATTTAAGGGAGAGGAACAATACATCATAATTGTATATAATAATATCATAGATGATAGATTGATTAAATAGATTTTAGGTAGATGCTTGTGCATTCTTAAAGTCTTGAATTTCACTGAATATGACATCTCTAACAAGTTAATTTGTTCACATTTCCACATCTTAATTTTTAAATTTTTAAGTGAAATGGTTTTTTTTTGAGTTTATACACTATATGCAAATAAGGTAACTTCCTTTTGCATTATTTTTGTGTGCTGCATTTTTCTATGTTTTAGCAAAAAAGAGGAACAAAGGTATTTAAATCAACCTAGGATGATTTGTTTTAATTTTCACATGACGTTACTGAGGTGATGCAAAGTGAAACATGCATTCTTTTTTTTTGCTAATGTGCTGGAAAAGCTTGAAAATGGACATTGAAAGTGCTCAAACATTTGATGCTAAAAAAGGTGCTGAAAAAGGTGTATGAACCCTGTCGTAAGTCCTTAGAAAACAGACAAAAACTCCACCACATACCTGATACAGAACCCGAGTGATGCATCTGGATTAAGGCTAATCTATTGTTCACTGAAACCATCAGAAATGGCCTCAGTGGAAAAGCAGCTGTCAAGAAGGCATCCTTAAGAGAAAAAGGTAGAGGTATGCTAAACTGCACAATAACTGGACTGAAATTCAGTGTCAACAGGATTTATGGAGTGGTTAAAGTTTTGGTTCAAATTGTGTCATGTATGTATCATGTACGGAGGTAAGTCTTTCAGTATGACAATGATCCCAAACACACTGCTCAAATAAGTCAACAATGGGATGGGAGGTCAGTTCCTTGATCCTTAATATACAAATTCTCATGACCATTGATTAAAGCCCAGATGAACAG